TCTCTCTCTCTCTCTCTCTCTCTCTCTCTCTCTCTCTCTCTCTCTCTCTCTCTCTCTCTCTCTCTCTCTCTCTCTCTCTCTGTGTGTCTGACTCTCTCTCTCTCGCGCGCACTCACACACACACACTGCGTCGTTGTCGTCTCCCCCTTCCCACTTTGTCACATCTGCATATTCATCTCTCTCTCTCTCTCTCTCTCTCTCTCTCTTGTGTGCACACATCGTTTTTTAGCATTTTTTCAAAAAATGATCCTTCTGCATGCCCATCTCAGGAAACCTTGTTACGAGTCTTACGACTTCTCCTTCCCCTAAATCAAAGGCTCAATGACGTTCTTGCGTGCTCTGGACCATGCAATTCCACATGATAATAGAAGTTGTGAAAACTGATGAAAGATAAAAGAATGGAGACGTCAAAAACGGAGCAAGAAAACAATAAGAACAGCTCCCAATAAAGAAAAGGAACTCAAAAAAGGTGTTTGTGACAATGGCTTGAAAGTTGAAATGGAGGAGCTGTATGTGCGTCTGTTGTCATGCTGGATTTACATACAAGAAAGAAACATGACACGCACGTGTGCGTTTGTGTTTGTGTGTGCGTGCATGAGTCTGCATCCGTGCATGACAGGGTGTGCCTGAGTGCATGATTGCATGGGTGGGTGTGCGTGGACGTGTGGGTGCATGAGTGGGTGCATGTGTGGGTGTGCGTGCATGTGTGGGTGCATGAGTGGGTGTGCGTGCATGTGTGGGTGCATGAGTGGGTGTGCGTGCATGTGTGCATGGGTGCACATTTTCTTGTCCATTGCTGTGCATCATCTTATTCGCTATGCACAACTCCTCAGAAAAGCATGCGCGTGTAAGTTGTGCCCGCCGAAAGGCAACGGCATGGGAAACAAATCGCCGCAGCAAAAAATGTACCCAAATTGGTCGTCGCTGGACAAAGAAAGTGAGATCGCTCACCACCCATAACCTGTTGGAATACAGACCTGAGTTCGAATCTTGATGGGCCTTGACGAATAGAAATAAAATCCAAAAACGAACCCACCAAAAAACAAAACAAAACAAAACCTGCTGCCAGAAAGAAAACCCGAAACTCCCGCTGCCGACCAACCGGCCTCCCTCAGGCCAGTGGGTGAACAAGGCTTTCCTATGTCACATATATACAGAATACCAGCCTTGCGACCTATGTCACATTGCGACCTATATGTCACATTTATAACACAAACAGGCAGCGGAACTAACTCTTCTGCTGGAGCTTCCTCATGTAGATGAAATAAAGGACTACATACGGAATGCACAGGAAAGACTTCCAGCATCAGGTGATGCTTCCCTCCAATAGATGGAGCCTCCCCGGCAGTGCTAGCAGGGTCTGCTCCTACCAGTGCTGGTAGCACGGAAGGGTGTCCACAAAAAAACAAAAACGCGTAGGAATGACTAGATGGATATTCTACTCTAGAGAGTTCACAGCAGTACAAGACCCAGAACCTGGAGAGCTCAGAGCACATATTTGTCAGCCTCTCCAAGATCCCGCAATTGATTTTATTTTTTTTCTTTCCCGCGATCATTCGTMTAAAGAATTGTATCAAGCAAATTACCACAGCTTTCTTCGATCCATGGAGTTGAGAATAAACTTGTTTTGAATAGAAGATAACCGAGAATGGAAGGCCGATTTCACCTGAGTCCCCACCGCATTGTCATGCCTGTCACTTTGCCCTTTGCTCTTTTAATTCTACACAGCATCTCATTCTGTACAGATGATCTGTTGCTCTTCCATTCAGGGATGAATTGAGGACACAGATGAGGCCCTCCAGGCCAGCGACGAAAGCATCACGACGGAAGCATCACGACAACACACCACTCATATACTTGAGGAGCTGAAGAAAAGCTGGCTAAAGCAAAAAGCCATAATCGCTTTCATTGCGTACAGAAAACACACCTGCGATCTCCCTCCAGGCTAACGAGGGGAGAACTTGCACAACAAAATGCCACCTACCTGTGGACTTGAGAACTGAAGGAAAGACGGCTGAGGCGCAAGTGCCACAGACCTTTTCATCAGATATGGAATACATGCATGTTACCTCTTGCTCTGCCCTCAAGGATGCACAGAGGACTTCGATGAGCCCCTCCTGGCTAACAAGGAGCGCCCATGCATCAGAAACACATACGACCTGCGTACTCGAGAGGYGGAGGAAAGACAACCGAAGCAGAAATATTACAGACCCCATCCATGCATCAGATCCTACCAACGCTGACCCAAACACTTCTCCTATGGAATGCCGCAAAGTTCGGCAAAACAAGTTTTAGACACCAGAAGATAGAAGTAGAGCGCACAGAACACATCTAGCCCTCAGTACTCCAGACACGACAGACCTTTCGGATGTGACGGTTACAGACAGAATTCACACATGGCATATTGCCAGTTGGCAAGTACTTTGACTTAACAGAAGCAAAACGTTTTGAGGAGAGTACGGGCACACTAGGCAGCAACAGAATCCGCAAAAGACAGCAGGTAAAATTGCACAACCCGGGGACCACACACATAACGGAACTTATGAAACAATGAATTGCAGTCAGAAAGCGTTATTCAATCTGAATAGTACACCATCCACGAAAAGGATGAGAAGTGGACGTTCACAGTGACGCAACACAAAATAATAGATCGCAGAACAGGAAACGTCATCCATCCACAGCTTTGGAACAAGCTTTAAGACTTCCTTTTTGGGGCATGACCTGACCCCTTGGAAGGAGGAGAGGAGCCTGAGGAGAGTTGATGGATTCGCGTCACCTGTTCGATTGTGACGAGAAAGGGTGGCTGTCCATCGCCTAGACAGTTCATGAACCTGCCATTTCAGCTGATCGGCATGAGATGGAAGTCATCCTGCTGAGGAGGTCCCTTTTGAGCAAGAGGAGGGGAAAGGGAAGATGAAAGAGCTTCCGCCTCATGCTGAATCTTGAGAATTTTGGACATCGGGAGATTCCTTGTGTTACAAGTCCCACACCACTAAAAGATGAGGCGGAAGTACGAAGATGGACGAGCGCATGTTTACCTAGTTAGTGTGGTGTGGTCCTATGAAGCGACTCTTGCCGGGGTGCTTGCAGAACCCCAGCTGGTGTTGTCTTCATTTCCTCCTACCTTTGCTGAAAGAGTGCCCCAGCCAGCCGCAGTCTCATCAGTTTCCATGGCTCGGGCACCAGACCCCCAGCCATCACCACCCTCACTTACCTTCCCTGCGTTGGGTGACCCCCAGGCAGCAGGAGTCTCATTGTTTTCTGGAGCCTTTGAACCAGACGCCCAACCACCACCACTTTGTCCCTTGGGGGTAGCATCTGCCCCCCAGCCTCCACCACTTTGTCCCTTGGGGGTAGCATCTGCCCCCCAGCCTCCTCCAGTGCCCTTTGAAGGTCCAGGAGATGGTGCCCACCGAGGAGAATTCTCCTTCGGGGTGGTATCCGGTGCCCAGCCTCCTTCTGCACCCTTTGAAGGGCCAGGGGAAGGCGCCCACCCCGGAGAGTTGTCCTTAGGGGTGGAATCTGGGCCCCAGCCTCCTGCTGTACCCTTCGGAGGACCAGGAGACGGCGCCCATCCCGGAGAGCTCTCCTCGCTAGCGGGTGGAGGTGGCCTGGAGTTGTTGGCTGACACTCCCCAGCTTCCACCATCCTCACCGCCCTCACCGCCGGACCCTCTTGAACCCCACCCACCACCGTTGTTGTCCTTCACTGATCCCCACCCTCCTTCCCTAGCATGATGAGAAGGAGCCCTGTCTCCGCCTCCTGAACCCCATCCTCCTCTGCCTCCCCGGCCAGGTCCTCGTCCACGGCCGCCAAAGCTCCAGCCATCACCAGATGCACCTCTGCTGTAGCTATCGCCAGAACCCCACCTACCCCTCCCTGAACCTCGGTCTAATTGGCCAGAACCCCATCCACGCCCTCTGCCTCTGTTGTATGGCATCCTTCGTGGCCCATCATCCCAGCTGCCGCGGCCCCCTCCTCCTCCACCACCCCATGAGCGGTTATCATATCCCCTGTTCTCATTTCTGCCGTAGTCCCAGCTGCCACCGTTTCCGCCATTCGTTCTGTTCCAGCCACCCCGGTTCCCACCCCAACTACCCCCATTGACTTGGCCACCAGGACCTCTGTTTGAACCTCCTCCAGATCCCCAGCTTCCATTCTTTCCACTGTCTGACCTGCCACCTGCATGAGGAGCCGAACCCCAACCGTCACCATCGCCGCCACCACCATCGACTCCTTCTCCAGTCCCCGAGCCCCAGCCATTCCGTCCATCTCCACCGCCACCTTGCATCCCTGAGCCCCATCCACCGCCTGATTGCATGCCACCCTGATCGTCTTTCAGTGGGCCGCCAGCTCCAGAAACACCGGCAGCACCCACCCTCTGTGATCCCCACCCTGAAGCCCAACTAGTCCCATTCTCATTCGCCCCCCATCTGTTAGCCTCTGCTTCAACGACACTCGATGGCTCTGTCGTCCTCTGCGACACAGGCGTTGAGCTTCCTCCTCCGCTCGACCAGGCATCATAATTCCTGGGAGGGGAGATTGGAGCCGGTGGAAGGGTGGCCCACGAACTACTTCCGCCATTGTCCGTAGAGTTCTCACTAACACTTCCCCATGGCTCTTGACTTGGACTGCGGGTTGGTCCCTGGATAGCCGCTGCATTCCCATTTCCACTCCACTCTGGAGTTCTTCCACTATTGCCACCCCATTGATGCTTCGGCGTTCCACCGTAACCGATCGAATTTGGTGTCGATTGACTAGGAACCATAGCTGCAACTGCCCGTCGTGCAGGAAGGTCGGTTATAGGATCATTGAAATGGCGCTGAAACCACCCTATGAGTGCATCCGGGCTTTTGAAGTCCTTCTTACGGTATCGGTAACCTTTTGGTGAAACAGAAATGTATTCATGATGAGGATTCACATTCCTGATGTACGAGAGAATAAAAGCACCTGGATGCTCATAGCTCACGCTCACATAATAAGGGATAACTCCAGGTTTCTCCATCTTTTCCTGTTTTAATTGGTCATCAACCTCCACCTTCGTACCCCGTTTGAATTTGCGATATTTCAGCATGTCACGAATCTTCGTCACAAGAGGCTCCACGTACCTTGCAACAACCTGGACACCAAACCACAGAATGATCAAACCAAATAAACAGATATTCCTTCCATCTTCGCAAACTGCAAAACTTCAATTATTTCTCATCATCCATGATGGGTATAAGCCCCTACAGGCTTTACATTTCGCCTTCAGTGCCTTCCTAGATTCCAAAACAAAGCATAATATGGGTACCACACCGTTAAACCACGACTACCTTTAGCAGGCAACATCGACAGTCGAGAACACTCGGGGCACTTCGGACGAACAGGACCGCAATGGCTGGCGGCACCAGACCAAAAGTGAAAAAAATAAAAAAATCACTGCACTGGCGCTTCGGCAAGCCGCACAGTTCTTTTATGCCTCAGCAAAAGAGGCCCGGAGGTAGTGGTGGTGGTCCAAGGTCCCGATCTCTTATACTGCAGCACTCGATCACGGCACTGGCGCTTTGGTAAACCTTGCCACACACTTCTTTTCGGCCTCAGCAAAAGAGGCCCGGAGGTAGTGGCGGAGGTTTAAAGTCCCAATCTCTTGTGTCGGAGCACTCTTTTGGATACGAAAGGGACCATGATGGACATGTTTTGAAACAAAAAGGGCAATGGCGTTCAGATACGATCATTTGCCCTGGGGCTCCAGCAAACAACCCAGAGGATAGCGCCATAAGTTTCCAGCACAGTTTGCACACATACAAGGAAATATAAAAGTTTAATTTTCTCGTACAAATTGTGTTGAAAACTTACGTCTAGAGCCTCACCTCCCTCAGTGGATACGAAAGGGACCATGGACATGTTTTGAAACAAAAAGGACAATGGGGTTGAGATATGATCATTTGGCCTGAGCGACCCTAAGTAATTTGGAAAGGCAGTATTTCACTCATCTGCTTCCAATGGAGTTTGAACTCGGGTCTGTATTTCAACAGTTCGTTCAGGGGTGTACCAACTGAGCTAGGCCAGTTGCCTTTGTGTCGACTAGGGCGCCAAAAAGACCTCCCAAACCAAACACTTCTTAGGCCAATTTTCTTGGAAGCTTTGCCCAATCTGTCCAGACCCTCGCACCTCTCAAAGGCTCTCATTCACATTTCGTCAGAACGCACTCAAGAATATTAGTAGCACAGAGATGCATCATGAAGGAATGAACAAAAAGAATTTGATGATGTTCCAATTCTACAGGAATAAAGACGGTCATCCTACCGATAGATATTACACGCTCATATGAAGAAAACGACATCCGGCAGGGACAGTATTCCCAGCGGGCATTTTTGCTGATGGAAACCGCCTTACCACCCCTGACTGGCCACAGTTCATTCAAAAAAAAAAATCAAAAAAAAAATCAAACATCTAGACTACCTCTTTCTGTCCCTCACTGATTACTGCGCAGAGGAACATGCAAACTTACCTCGTCCAAATCTTCATACGTCTCATCGCCAATGGAAAGTGTTTTTCCAAGTCGGAAAAAGCTCACCGGATCTCGGATGTCCTTCCCACCTTCTTTGATGTCAATATGCGTGTAAAGTCCCTCAAAGAACTTCAGAGTCAGCGACAAATGAGTTGGTCCTTTACTGCTTGGCCGAATAATAACCTCCCCAACATCTTTGTCTGCCAGCGCCTGTCAGCAAAAGGCGCAAGGCAGACAGTGCCAGACACAGGCGCATCACATTTACAATATCATGTGTCAGAAGATCTTTATACGAAACAGAGTCCACAAGCAAGTTGCGCTTTATTGACTTGTTATTGTTTCTCAGAAGAATTCGTTTTTTCATTAGCTAAACCTTTTCTTGTTCTACGCATAGAAAAACCATCATTTATTTGCACACAAATGACTGAAGCTTTGAAAACATATATGCAAATTTCCCTAAGCTTCGCCCTTTTTTTTTGTTTTCCTTTTTTCAGTTATCAAATTTGGTGTTTTGTTATCGCATGAGTTCAAACGTCAGACATTTACCTTTCAGCAGTCGATAATTATGCTGGCTGACAACACAAAGTGCACAGACGTAGTAGTATATATGGCTAGAGAGTCCAGACTGCAAACACCTCTGAGGGTCCGTAGAGCAGTTTTTTTTGACGATGGCAAAAGCGTGCACTCCTACCTGACTTGCCGGAGGCTCCGATATATTGGTGCGGAGCTGCACCTGCTGGAAAACGGGTCCAGCGTACCTTGGAATACAGTGAAAGGATAATAGTACATCACATGCTGGGAAATGGGCCCAGCATCCCCAACTTATCCTATGGAGACTCCGTGATTTCTGCATTTGGCGACTGTTTCAACTACCATGCATACCGCACGCCCTGACTAACGGGCGTGCGGCCTTAGGCTCTATTAGTCTTGTACGATATGATATAAGAAAAAGGTCAGAAGTAGCGGATAGCCCTGCTATGCTAGGAAGATTTCCATGACCGGCCGGTCACCCGGGCGTGATGCCCGGGGGGGTCTGACGACCGGGATACCCGGGCATGTGGGGTTTTTCTGCGCTCTCGGAGAGGAGCCCAAATCCGGGCTCGTTTCTTATTTTGAGAGTTGGCTGTCAAGGGGGGTGAAGGGGAGTATAAATGAATTTCAAAGGGGCTAAAGGGGTTTAAAGGGGGGTGCCTTAATGTGAATTTTTATTTATTTATTTATATTTATTTTTATCTTCAGTTCCGTGAGGAATTCTGATGTGACCCTCAGCCAAAAGTTGTTTGTATT